CCCCAAAACCCCAAAACCCCAAAACCCCAAAACCCCAAAACCCCAAAACCCCTGATTAAATATAATCAATTGTAAATAAACATTTGAAGTTATTCAGAAAATGGACGAAAAGCTTAAATTATTAGAACCTCTCCAGTAAGCATCACCCCGACTCCTTCCTGCAAATTAGTGACTAAATCTTAAGGTTTACTATAGAGACGATACTTTGACTGGACATAAAATGAAATTCAACAAATTTTGAAGTAAGCTCTTCCCTTTGCTCACTAAATCACCTGTGCTGTTAATCTATCGCCTAATGAAGTTGCTTAACCAATATTTAGAGGATAATAACTGGAAACCGAAGAAATCGAATAAAAGAGACCGGAAGGGTAAGCAAACGACTGTTCAACAGCTCATGTATGTTTAGATAAGATAAAACAGTTTGAGACTAAGCTTGCCAAGGATGACCCTACTCTTGATTATTACAAAAAAGGAAATAAGAGGATGAGGATAGAGCAAATGTTTAGTGAGCTCTCACTCAATGGCCACCAATCTCCTACTTCGAAATCTTCTCAAAGAGGTAAATTACAATTTAGAACTTTATAGAATATTCCTATGAAGATTCATACCAAGGATCTGAATGATTTTCAATTGAAATTCAAAAGATACAGTCAACCAAAGACCTTAATGAAGGTGATATATTGCCAAGGAGAAAAAGAAAGAGAGCTAAAACATACGCTTCTCAGTCAAACTCACCAAGTTTCGGAAATCATACTAATGTATCCGAAAGTGACTCACTAAGAAAGTCTCTAGTGATATCTGAATTTGTGAATTTTTCAGAAAATACCCCCAACCCCAAGCCTGAAGATCTTCAAGTCCAGTCTGACTCAAATCGAGAGAAGTCGGATGACACCAAGGTCTCAATAGAGATTGATGATAACAAAGAAGATTCTCTAGATAAAGAAATGGATACTACCAATGAAATCAAGCCCAGGTCTATCCGTATCACCATTCTGAATGACCTTGACAAAGTAATCTTTGAGAAAAGTCTGACAATAGACCATGATAGCATTAAAATCAAACCCTTCCTTGACATCATCGATGAATTATGAGCTAAAAGCCGAGGACTTTCGAAGTATAAGAAATTTTTCAAAAAAGCTTTGTACAAGAAATTTAATATCCCAGACTTTGATGACATATTCCAAGATAATTTCTAACATAATTCCTTATTAAAATTATTGGCAACGTCTTCATACATAATTAACAAAGTTACAAGTCATCTTTCTTGTTGTCGAACTGGGGGGTAGAATTGAGTCTGATGAACTTACCACTACCGCTAAGAATACCATCAATAAATATATTCAGACTGTGAGCATCAGTTTTCTCATTTGAGTACTCAGCATACTTGCTCTTCTTTGGGCGGTACATAATAATTCTTTTCTGAGAATTAAAGTTACTATAAAACTCCCCGTTCTGGGCCATATCCACATATGTAAAGATAATAGGAGACTTAGTGAAAGTAGTCATTTCCTTCTCAATATTTGCTAGAGTCTCTCTGTCCTCGACAGAGCCAGTAGAGAAGAATATGAAACAGAACTTAGATTCCTGCCTGCCACACAAGCCAGTTTCATATTTCTTCTGAGTTAACTCAATAAGTCCAGACTGGGTTTTAGTATTAGCATTCTTCTTGCCAGTGAGGTATTGCCTTAAGAACTCTTTCAGCTTTTCTAAAGATATTTCTCCAGTATAGCAATCTGCTTTGTGCTCAAATTGGTCAGTGACTACTCACAGAGATGGGTGATGGGTAATTTTGAAGCTTTGAGTCAGAGGATCTGTGCTTCTGACAAGCCCAAAAGTCATCAGCTTTGTAAATTTAGATAATGCTTTATAAATTGCTGGAGTTGATTTTTTACTTGTGAATAATAGCACCTTAAAATCATCCTTCTCTCTTGTAACAAAGTCTCCAAAATTGTTCTCAGTAACAATAGAGACAAAAGACTCCATCATAGAAGTTGCTTTGTTTGATATAGATTTCCAATTAAACTTCCCTCTATACAGACTTCCTGAGTCAGACATTTTCTCTGTAAAAATAAGGATTTTAGGTGCTTCGTAGACTTCATATTCCTCTCAAATCTCTTCATCTTCCTCACAGTCTACAGCTCCAACACCTATTATTCCATGTGTTTTCTCTGAGAGCATTTTGATATCCTGAGCTTTCTCTTCTAATTTCTGGTCTTTGGGGTCAAAGAAGAACACAATCCACACTATATTCCTTCTATAGAATGTAGAAATTGTCTGCAGATTTAGTTTCACAACATCGGAATTCCCGAAATGGTCAACGCGATGTTGCTGTTGTTGACCTCCTCCATAATGGAAGTTGTGGCCATGGCCTCCTCTAAATCCGTCACCTCCCTCGTAAAATTGTTCAAAAACATCCTCCATATTCATGCCTCCAAATCCATGGGCGTGGCCTGCATTTCTTTGGTTCTCTTGCTGTTGAGCTTGCTCTAAACCTTCTTCTCCAAACTGGTCATAGATCTTCTTCTTTTCAGGGTCAGATAAGATTTCATAAGCATTTGCGATCTCCACAAATCTCTCCTTTGCCTTCTCTGGGTTGTCTTTGTTCTTGTCAGGATGATATTTTAGAGACAGCTTCTTGAATGCTTTCTTGATTTCCCTCTCATTAGCACTACGATTGATTCCCAATAGTCTATAGTAATCTTTTCCTCACATTACAATAGCTAGTTGCACTGCTATAATGAAGCATGTTAATATTCTCCTCATCTTTAAGAGACACTATTTTATTATTAACACTTGTATACTTGTTAGCATATTGGGGTTTTGGGGTTTTGGGGTTTTGGGGTTTTGGGGTTTTGGGG